GGGTAAGTGTGGTTTTTGTTCTAGAGGGGCCTCTGTAGCAATATCAAGTCATAACCAACATATTCAAAGAGAAGCAGAGGTCACAGGTCACCAGTGACAGTATTCACCAAAGAGCATCTCTGGCACACTGTCATTTTTTAAATTTACTTTTTTGGGGTAAATTTTATTTATGAGAGAGAACTATATATCATTCTCACCCTTTCCATCTCCCTGCTCTAACTTCTCCTGTGTCCCACCCCCTTTTGAGTTCATGGCTTCTTCTTCTGTAGTTAGAACTGGTGCACAGAAGTATGAACATTTATTTAAAAAAAACCTACGGATCCCATTTAGGGTTGCTTGTGTGCACGAATGTCTAGGGCTGACCACTTGAGGTCATCCCCGGAGGAGACAGATTCACTGTCTCTCCACAGCCATTGACTGCCTGTAGCTCTTCTGTGGCTAGGCTTTGTGAGAGTTCCCCTATCTGAAACATGAAAGCATGGCAGCTGCTGTCATCGAAATACAGATCTTGTTTAGACAGCCCTATGAGATTGCATGGGCACGCTTTCCCTTATAGTGTCTAGAAGACAGCATCTAATCCCAGGAGTCCTGGTTCTCTGGCTTACAGTTTGTCCACCACTTCTTCAGTGATATTCCCTGAACTTGACATCTAGAGTTTACATCATAGATAGACCAGCGTGGACTGTATACCCCATGACTACTTTGTCTCTACATTTGGATCAGTTAGGGATTCCTGTGGTAGCTTCCATGTATTGAAAAAAAAAAAAGCTCGTTTGATTGGGGGTGAGGGTGAGAGATGCATTTCTCTCTCTGGGCATTATTATCTCTGGGTAAAAATATGTAGCACTTAGTTAGAAATTATATTGGTTTAGGAAGATGGTGGTCTGCCATTTTGTCATTTCTGGAATCTAGTCCATAAAGAAAAACTACAACGGACTCTCTGGCAAGTGTTAGGGCCTTGATAACCAAGAAAGAAGTGTACCAAGTAGTTACAGAAGTCTCAGACCCAGTGGTAATTGTACATAGGAGTGGGCCCTGCTGGGTGATCCTCCCCCGCTCAGGGTCCCCTTACACCTGCACACTGCAGAGAAGCCAGAAAGACCAGCAAGAGAGCAGGGAGCGCTGAACCACCCGAGTCCACAGTGTCACAAAATACAGCTATCTAAACCGACCGATACACTCCTCACTCACAAACAGAGCAGACAGGCTTCGATCTCAGGAGTTCCAGGGAGACCAGCGGCAGGGAGGGTGGAGGAGGGGGACCTCCAGATGTGCAAACTCTCCACATGAAACATGGAACTCAGGGAGCAATGGAGAGTTCTGGAGAAGCCAATTCAATAGCTTTAGAGTTTGGGGAACATGGTGTCCATAACATAAAACAGCAAAGATGACCTGAAAATAAGGAAGAGGGTGAGGAAAAAATATATAAGTTGAAATTAAACGCATGCCTTGTCGGGTCCAGAAGAAACTGGGGGCAGATGGCTGACGGTGGGACTGGTTAGTGTACTAAAGTGTATGCTGGACTCCAGGCTCTCTCAACATCACAAATACCTGTCACGGAGTTCACGCCCTCATCCTAGCTCTCTCTCTCTCTCTCTCTCTCTCTCACACACACACACACACACACACACACACACACACGCGTCCCCCACCCCCACCCTAAACTTCTCCAGGTCAGGGGCTTCCTTTCCGCTAGCTTCTCATTCCTATATAAACCTCCCATTTTGGCCATGTGCTCGCTTGCTCTTGATCTCTGTCTCTCTCCCCGCCCCCTTTCTCACTCTCCCGCTCCCCTCTCTCTTCTCGAGGTCACTTTTACTGTACTACTCTCTACTCCTGCTCTAGACTCTTCCAGATGCCCCTGGCTGTACTCGCCCTCTTATCGACAATAAAAACCGTCCCCTCAACCGCATCTTGGAGCCGTCCTGTCCTCGGTTTATATAAACGTCGTTGCCGAAACCTGTTAGCTAGGTCGAAAAATAAAGGATGCACCCTGATAGGTTATTTCTCCGCCACTGGTGAAATGAGACAATTTAAACCAGATTAGATTGTATTAAAGACAGGTTTATTGGGAAGCTGCTTTGTGGTGGGCGTGTTCATGGGCCCCAACTGAGGCCAGGGAAGTCGCTATAGGGAAAGGAGGGAAGGGGGATGGGGGACGCATGCGTGCACGCGCAGAGAGAGAGAGAGAGAGAGAGAGAGAGAGAGAGGGAGGGAGGGAGGGAGGGAGGGAGGGAGGGAGGGAGGGAGGGAGAGAGGGAGGAAGAGGAGGAGGAGGAGGAGGGGGGGGAGAAACCAAAATGTCTGGATTATACAGGGAGGAGCCTCTGGAGGAAGGACAGTCCAGCCCCTAGGCTGGAAAGTTCAGAGTTGAGGGCAGGGTATGCCAGGTAGGGACTGAGGGATTCTGGGAGAGCCTGGAGGTCAGGTCTGCTTTGGTATGTAAAATATGCACCTCAGTCCCTTGTCCTGGGGTCAGAAACCAAACACACCCAGAGATACATTTGCTGTTTCGGATGTGACGCAAGAAATGGAAGACACGTTTGCTACTTGATTTTCAGTGAAACAACAACTTGATACATCTATTTTAAGTTGAAAATATCCATAAGATGAAGACGCATTTAGTACATTTAACCTACTGCGAGAGTCAGCTTTCTGTTACTGTGACAAAGCCCCTGAGGTAACCAGGTTAAAGGAATAAGGGTGTGTTTGGGCGGATAGGTTCAGAGCCAACTTTGGTTTGCTCTACTTAGTGTGGGTCTGTGGGAGTGGTGTTTACATGGCTGTAGCCGGTGGCAGAGGAGACTTGTTAACACGGGGAGGGGAGGTGGCCAGTGAGAGGGATGTAAAGTGAATAAGTAAAAAGACAAAGAAACCAAACTAGCTTCCGGTGATCTAAAGTTTCCCGACTTGCTAATAGTACTACAGGCTGACAACCAAACCTTCAACATACGGGTCTTTGACGGACATTCAAGACTAAACCGAACAAACACAACAGTTTATCCACACAGCAAACTGGAGAATGGGTAGTTTTTACCCTCGGTGGTGGTGGTGGGGGGGGGGTGGGGGGGGGGGGGGAGGACATAGCTGACTGACCCTGGAGCTCACGACTATCCCCTAGTGTCCCAAAGAAGTTGTACACAGCCTAAGAAAAGATCCAAATTCAAAATATACTTTTAGTGCCCGGCAGATGCAGATTGTGTCATCTAAAGTTAGAAACACTGTAACTTCATAAATAGTCTTCTCTTGACTTTATGTTACTCTGTCTCGTATTAATAAAGGATTCATTTTCATGCCTATGGCTTGAAATGCATGCCCGTCCTCTTTGAAATTCTGGGAGCTGCTGTCTTTCCTGAATTCTGAACCAGTTCCTTGTCAGTTTCTCTTCTATTCTGTCTTTCTATCTTGTGATTCTCTCCCTTGAGAACAATGTTAGACCATGTGTCAATCTCTTAACTTTTCCCTCACGTTTTTGATTCTTTATCCCTTGGTGTTAAAATTCCAGTGATTTCTACAGCTCTATCCCCTACTTTCCTAACTCTCTTCAGCTGACTTTCCTGTTTCTATAACTGTATTTTTTTCTTTTTGTTTAGAATTGCTTTTGCAGAAACTAAACTTTCTTTGTTTTACAACATACTTATTTTATAGATGCTATTTTCTTGTTTGGATATTATTATTGTTGTTGTTATCATATCAATTTTAAAACCAATTTTATATTGCTACATTACTTGGGAATCTTGTCATTTCTTGTACCTACTGATATACATGCTAAGGAGTTTCCACATGTGTTTTGAACTTTCATAGTGTCAGGTCCCAAGCTCAAGTGTATGCCTTCCACAAATATACTTCTGGAGTTGGTTGGGGCATTCTCATGTGTAGGTTTCATGTTTGTCGGGATTTGTGGCTTTTTGAGTTCTGGAACAATTTCCATGGTTGTATCACTGCTCAGTATGTGCTTGGCAGGTGGGCAGCTCACAGGTTAGAATCACTCCCTTCCAGGATATGCATATTTCTGCCAGTATCAGGGTTCAACGGCAACTGACTGCATCTCAGGAAATTTCTATCAGTAGCATAGGATGCTTTACACAAGGCAAAGCCAGACAATCTCCCTCCTCGATTTGCTGTCAAGGAGTACAAAGTCCAAACAACATTGTACTGAGACCCATGACTTAAAGACAAGGCACAGTATAAAAGATGAATCTCTTTGTCATTAATATGCATTATTTCAATTTGATGTAGATGATGTCTAACTCCAATTCAAAGGCAAATCTGAGAATTTGGTTTGTTAGCGGTTTCTGCTGTGGCCTGCACTCCAGATTCCTAGAACCTGACTTTCTAACCTCGATCCTGTCCTGGGCCACATTTTACCGAGCACTGTGGTGGCTTGAGCTCATTCATGCTCAGTTACATTAAGGCACTAATGTTCTTTCTAGTTGTTGCTCGTAGAGATACTTGGCAGGCCCCCTTCCTTTGTCAATAATTTACTTTTGTCCTCTCCCTCTCCATTTGAAAAAAGCATGCAATCAGCTTACAAGACCCAATCTGCATGATGCCTGCTTCCACGTCTTGAAATTTTTTATTCCCACGGCGAGTTGCAAAATATCTCCATCTTTTCTTTTTGTTTCTTCTCCTTCCCTCCCTTCTTTCAGCTTGCTTTCTTTCTTTCGTTCTTTCCTTCTTCTTTCTTTCTTTCTTTCTTTCTTTCTTTCTTTCTTTCTTTCTCCTTTCTTTTTTTCTTTTATAGTAGATGAGGGAAACTTTTAGGGTGTTTTGTTTTTGTGATGTTTTTCAAGAACATCGTTGCTTTACATGTTTCAGAGCAATCGTCCTCACAAAGTAAGGGATTCTGATTCATCGATCCAATTCAAAGCAAATTGTAACGATGTGTTTTGTGCCGTGTTCTCAGAACAGAGTGTTCTGAGCATCAACACAAAGTGGAAGAGCCTCCAGCTGAAGGCGCCGTGTATTATTTGCACTGAAGAGTCTTTTTCTGTGGACAGGAAAGGCTTGTGAGGGCAAATGGACCCCATGGAACTGAGAAACGTCAACATCGAACCTGACGAGGACAGCTGCAGCGGGGACAGTATTCAAGATAGCTACACCGGGATGGAAAACTCCGAAAAGGAAACCGTGAGCAGGTACAGGGTGAAAAATTGCCAGACTCTCTGGAAAAAAATCGAATGGGCCGTGGGCTGGGAAAACCAGGGTTCTGGTGGAATGACTGGGTTTATTATAGTTAAACATAAGATAACAATGTTGATATTGACACGTGAGCCCTGTGATCCTTTGTGTGGCTGATTGGAAACTGAAGTTGCAAGGTCCGAGTCTCCATTGCTGATTTAACCCACGTTTCCCCGAAAGCAGCCTGTTCTTCCCTTTATGTTCTCGATGCTGTCTGTCTACAGAGGGATTTTGTTTGTTTGTTTGTTTGTTTGGTTGGTTGGTTGGTTGGTTGGTTGGTTGGTTGGTTTTTGCTCCAAAAGGATGTCCTGAACAATCTCATTCACAAACTATCACAAGGTCATCCACTAACTAGAGGGCACATTCTCAGCCTGTTAAACCTTCCACCTGAACTCCCAGTCATATATTCTTCCACCAACCTCACTTCTCTGCAGAACCCATGTCCTTTCTGATAGGAACTTCTCACAGCTTCCTTCCCACTGCCAGGGAAAGGCAATCAGGAAGCAGTGTTGTTCTTACAAACTCAGTGAGTTGTAGGGTTGTTGGGCCAGTGAAGGGCAGACTCTAGACTCAGTGGCTCCTGAATGCAGTAAAACACAGGGCAGTGTTGTCTGAGTGGTTGCTTGGCTTTGGGGCGATTTATCTTCTTTTGAGCTTCTGTGCAAAGTGTGGACTAGCAAATGGACATCACCTTTTCCAAAGAATAAGTGAGCATATAAATATAAAGAGATTTTTAGCAATCCTGGGTTCTTTCTCCTCCACATCATTGCTTTTGGTGTGCTGGCTGGAACCCGAGGCTCTTTTGATACTGAAGGGAATGCACTCGGGTATGAGTTCTGTAGCAGGTAGAGGAGCTACAGGGGATCTAGTCCTAACAGCCCCAGAGTCCACAGTTGGATGCTGTTGTCAAGTCCTACACAGCATCTTCTTAGTTCCTCAAAAAGGTACACTTTCTAACTGCTGGCTCGTGCCTAAGATGCCATTTTTGTGATTTTTATATTCACTTTGAATAGATGGGCTATGTTTGTATTTGGTTTTGAATGAATGTCTAGTTATACTTTTTTTTTTAAATTCTATTTACTGTATAGCCTTTGGGTGAGATCATCTCCCTTGTGTTTTCAATAGATGTTGGGTGTGCTTTAAAACAGTTAACATGCTGAGGGCATTCCCCACATGCTCTGTCCAGTCGCTGTCTGCTTTATGTCCAAGTCTCATCTTGCGCCAAAATAAGAACATACGAGTGCCTCACTCAGAAACAATTTCCTTTACTTTCTCGAATTCTAACTTTTAAAATCCACTCATGCGGTGAACATTTTAATTTGCCGAGGAAAGTTAAGTTAGATTGGACACAGTTCCGTTTAGATTGTTCTGGAAGAGACACTTGTGTTTACGGTCCTTCATCCCCGTTGTATCCCTATCATCCCAGGTTCCAACTGTGAACATTGTGTAACAGCCCTTCAGAGCTAGTATATTAAACATAGACACTTAAATCACATCAAGATGGTGGGGGGACGTCAGTCAAGGAAGAAGGCAGCAGCTGAGGGATCCGTGTCTCTTGTGAGGAACATGGGCAAAGCTAGGGGACATCCTTCACCTGTACACTATGGGCTGCCTACTCTCTGGTTCCCAGAAAAAGCTTCTGTGTGCAGAAGCTTTGTGGGTGTATCTGATGTGTATTGTATTGTATTGTATTGTATTGTATTGTATTGTATTGTATTGTATTCTACTGTCCGAGAGTCACCTCCCTCGTGGTGCCTCTCTTGCTGAGACTGTTTGCAGTGACTCTTCCCTGTCAGAGTATTTTCAGGATTAGGTCCTATCATAAAAGACAATTTGTAAGGATCTCCTCGAGCAATTTAATTTTCCTTTTATTTCCAGGGGTCATCTACCTGAAACCATCCTCCAGCTCTTTGGTCTTATTCTTGAATATGAGAAATGCCTTAAACAACCCCAAACTTCCCGATAGGACATGTTTTCAAGAAACATGCAGAGTTGAGCGTGTGATGTAGCCACCAAAGCTTGTGCTATATCTTAGTAGGTAAAACTGTAATGGTGACAGCTGGCCTTGCTAGACAGGCCTCTTAGGAGTGAGACTGACCCCCTGGCCATAGCCTCAGAGCTCGTGTCATGGGACTGCTGGAGCCGACCAGAACAGGAAAGGGACAGCATCAATGAGTTTGTACAGCCTGAGGACAGGCATATCATAATCAGCCTGACCCTATATGGCTTATACATTTTTATTCATTTAGTTAGTTGGACATTTAATTAGCTAGCTAGTTAGATAGTTAGCTATCTAGTTAGCCAGTTAGTTTGTTAGCTAGCTAGTTAGATAGTTTTCAGTGTTTCTGAAGCTGTCCTTCTGGAGCTCTCTCTGTAACCAGGATCACCTCCAACTCAGACATCTCCCTGCCTCTGCCTCCTGAGTGCTGGGATTAAAGTCAAGCCCTACTGCTGCCACCAACACCTGGCACCTCATGTCTTTTTAAAGTCTACTTTCTCTTCCAACCTCTCTACCACTTACCTTGGTTTCATTAATAACTTTTACAGCTTCATTTATTATCTAATAATAAACAAGATACTTTCTTAGAGCAGTTAGTGTACACACGAGTGCACATGTGCTCACACATGTTCCCCACACCAGGGATACGTTGGGCATCAGATGAGGGGAGTGCCTGAACATTTAACAGATATTTGTTACCTTGGTAAAATTAGGGGCTGTGGCTATTCAGAGCCCTTGCCTTACAAAAGGTTAGTCTCTAGCACCGTTAAAAAATAATAATAAACAATAATAAAAGTATCATCTCATCATGGCAGGACAGTAGTTTTAAAATCTCAGGACCGTGGCTCTGCACCCTCTCCTGGAAAGAGCTCCTAAGAGCGAACAAAATTAAACTCAGTTAATCTCTTTCTTGCACAGTCAGTGTTGGGGAAAAGAGAGATCGCATACACAGTTTTCAACTGGAAGTGTATCCTTCTTTGTAACACCCTCTCCTTTCCCAAATCTGTTCATCAAGAGTTCAGCCGTCGATCTGGAAGGAACACACGTGTGAAGAAGGCACGCTTTGGACGTTATCTTCCCTGATTCAGTTTGTTACATCACCCCGATCTTAAATGCTAGTCAGGGCATTTACTGAGCTTTCTCCATGTTTTTTTTTTTCTCTTTCCTTTCCTGTGCTCGTATAGTCAATTTGCTAATGAAGATGCCGAAAGTCAGAAGTTCCTGACAAATGGGGTTTCGGGGACGTCGAAGCTGGTCGATTACGCGGATGAGCATGTAAGTGACCGCTCTGCTTTCAGAAGGTAAACAGGACGGGGGAAGGGGGGTGTCTGACCTGCCGAGGTCTCGGTGGCAAAACAGTGTGATTGAAATTTTCCAAGGCTTCATCAGCACACTGTCTGTTTATTCAGGCCGTTACTGGAATAAAGGCTTGTTTTTCCCGTTTGCCATATGGCTGCATGAATCATTTATGAAATTTATTTGGTTTTTTTTTTCTTCAAGAAATCATTCTATCCCAAATGTAATCTGCAGCCGTACCTCGTTTTCCCCCTCTTTTTATTGCTCACCTGTATTTCTAAACTTTTCCTGCGACCTATGCTGAAGCCAAGCCTTTGGTTCCATTCAAAAGGACGTGTTCTTCTTGACACTCTGAGGAATTAATGGCTTTTACTCATTATGGCTTTGTTTTACTCTTCCATTTGGGGTTATAGTCTCAGAAGATACGGTGAGCAGAGTAACCAAAGCAAAGATAGATCCTTTGGCAAACATTTGCTTATAATGTACTTCTTTTCCTCAAGCACCCCGGAATGACTTCCTTTGGAATGTCCTCATTTAACCTGAGCAACGCCATCATGGGCAGTGGGATCTTGGGCTTGTCCTATGCCATGGCCAACACGGGGATCATTCTTTTTGTGTAAGTGAATATACATGTCTGTTTTTAGTGCCAAATCTGTTTATAGCCTGACACCTCATGCGAGCTCTCTGTGAGCAAGACTAACCTGAGGGAGTGTTGGTGAATGACCCTTGCCTTTTATATCGATCTGCTGCCAAAGTATAGGTATCCAACCACTGATGGCACCCCATCATTCCACAGGAAGATGGCACCACTTCACGGAGTAGCTTGCCACTTGACAGATGCTTAAAATAGGGTAGCATTCAGTAGTCAGAGGTATCCCATCCCAAATTCTTGAAAAATGTCAGAAGAAAAATAACTCATGTCCTCTAAGAGCCCTGCACTGGCCAGTGCTATTCCCTGTGGCTCTGGGCACCAGACACCAACACTGGCCTCTGCGTGCAACCTCGGGGCTTTCTTTCTCTTCTTCATTTCCATAACACCTCACACCTCAGCAGATCCTCGCTTTAGTGCGGCTTTCCATGACCTTTGTGACAGGAGCCAGTATATTATACACAACCCTTGTGTACATGTCTGATTTCCTTAGTTAGAATCTAGCTCCCTGTGAGACTCAGAGGACTGACCCCATGTCTCAACACACACCCTTTCCTGAAGCCTGACACAGGGCCTGGCATGAAGGATATTTGTGGAGTGACTGAAGCTAGTTTCTAAATGTATGAACTTTCACCACACTTGGAAAAAAGGCTGCCTGAAAGTAGCAACATCTCACAGCTGACCAATAGGATGGCTGGACAGGAGCCTCGCCTGTGATGGACAACCACAGGTGTTTGCATGGTCACGCAGGGTTTGGTATTTTCTAAGACACACTTGTCTGTAGTCATATTCTTCGCAAGCATAAAGTCTCACACTGGGAGTCAGTATGACCGTGAAGCCTGGTCCCAAACACGATGCCAGAGAGCTAACTGTCTAAGAATGCAACACTTACACTTTAAATATACGCTGTTTGTGTTCTGACATCACAGATGATTAGGTAATCACACAGCTATTTAAGGACTGAGGATCAGAATTACAAATATTTATCTTGTGTCAAATGAACTATTTTTTGTATAGTAGTCTTTAGCTGAATGGGTTTTTATACCAACTTCAATAAACTGTGTTTGAAATCAATTAGCCATTTACCATCTGAATAGTAGGCTCATAATATATTTGCATATCTCTATGCCTATGTAGTGAACACAACCTTTGAGACAAAAGGCTGCCTTCTTATTAATCATTCATGACATTAAAAATAATTATAAAATTATCACAGATCACTGATGAGCAGAAACTGAAAATACTTTCCCCAACCACAGCCACAGATCAACTTCTGGAAAACGTTATATTTTACATTTAACATAAAGCCTTCGTTTTGTTATGATGCTAACTTGACAACAGCTATCACATCGCTAAATACCACAGGATGTGCATTGTGTGTCTCTGAAATTAAAGAGCAGACTTGGCTGTCCCCTCTTAATTCAAAGCAAGTGACATAGCATTCCACTGATTTAGTTTCTAGAGCTTATGCCGTAGCAAACACGAATTTAAGATATAGAAATGCACATTATTTTTCCATGGAACAAAATGACATAATCTGAACTCCATAAGTTCTTTTAAAAGAGGTACATTCACACTGCACAGATGAGAGAGCCATTGGTTAGACTGTTCTGGAAGACTTGGTTTCTGGAAGAGGGGCAAACACAGGGCTGGAGTAGCTCCAAGTGTGTAATCCAGTGGACTGAGTGTACACAAGGAAGCAATGATCTCCCTGGGAGTGCCAGAGAAACTGGGAAAATGTATGTTCTCCAGTAAAGAAGAAAAGGAAAGATTGCTTTGTAGAATGTCAGATGTTAGTGCTGCCCCCTTGTTATCTAGATGGTGCTATCCATGCTTATTCTGTCAGTTTGTTTTATATAGCCAAGGATGACCTTGACCTTATAACCCTCCCGCCTCAGCGTCCCACATTGTTGGGGTTATGAGCTTGTGCCTTTATGCCTGGTGGTAGCAACTCTCCTCTTTAGATGCTCTGAGTCTTGGTTTGGAGAAATGTTGATCACTGCCAGCATATAGAAGCTGCTCCTACATGTGGTCGTGTGTAGGGTCCTGACATCAGATTCGATTCCTTCTGAATATAAGCCAGGCCTGGTCCTGCTTTCTTTCCTCCCCTTCCTCTGCTTTCTTTAATGTACCTGACCTTCCAGGTAACAAGGTGTCCTTCCTTCTCAAGTACAAGATCAGTAGACAAAAATGGCGAATGTCTGAGCAAGCCTAAGTTTAGTCAGGTTCTAGACTTTTACTGCGTTTTACTGTTGTTTTTTTTTTGTTTTGTTTTAATCCTGTTGATTAGCATCTCCACCATGAGGTATGTGAGAAGCGTTAGGTAGTACTTGAAGCATGTATAGTGTAGAAAAGTCACAGTTGTATGGCATCAAGGGGACACGTGGCAATGTGAAAAGAATTTCCCAGAATCCTCCAAAATCCATATATTTTTTGCAGAGTTGATGACTGAAGAAGCAGAGTTACCACTGTAGGTTTCTTAGCAACGCTCAGCACAGCAGTTTCCCCATTACAAACCTGTGCTGTCTGCTTTCTGTCCCGTTACAGCATCATGCTGCTTACCGTGGCAATTCTATCGCTCTACTCGGTTCACCTTCTACTGAAGACAGCCAAGGAAGGAGGTATGCCCCCCCCCCCCCACGTCCTAACTTCAGCCAAAGGCTCTCTTCCTACTTTGATTCTCGAGAGAGAATCTTGCCGCTCACACAGCGTTATAAGCTCAGGAGATTGGAACTCAGCTTCGTGGGTCATTTTTTTTTTCTGACCCCAGAAATATTTTCTCTCAAGGTTTTTAGTTAACTGAACAAGTGGGAGCCAAGAAGGAAAGCTGACTGGCTCAAGTTTAAGCCAAGTAGGGGGGAGAAATTTTCTGGCAAATGGTAGGAGATAGATGTATACAGCTAGCAGTATACAGCTCAAGAGAATGGAGCCATTGCTTCTGTTTGGAGAGCATTTGACATTGCTCATGGGTTTCTGAGGAGTGTTTCCCTGTACTGTTTTGTTATGTGCTTAATATTTCAGTTATATAAGGAAATGCAAGAGGCATGGAAATCATCCTCTAACATGGAAATTTTTTATATTCATAAATTTTAATTATGAAAATGTTATTTTGAACAATCTTTAATCAATTAAAAATAAAATAATGTTTTATATTGTCCTCACATATTCCCTCTCTAGCATTTTTCCTTCTACAAAGATACTTTTTAGTCATGTAAACACGTGTGTGTTTGTGCACATTAATGCAGTTACGGTAGGGTACAGAAGAGCACATCAGGGCACCCGCAGCTGGAGTTATTGGTAGTTGTAAGCCACTTAATGTGCAAGGAATCAAACTCCAGTCCTCTGCAAGAACAGTACATGGTCATAAGCACTGGGCCATCTCTCCAGTCTTGCTCTTCCTCTCTTCTGACTCATAACATGGCAATTTTATCTTTTCTTATAGGGTCTTTGATCTATGAAAAGTTGGGAGAGAAGGCATTTGGATGGCCTGGGAAAATTGGAGCCTTTATCTCTATTACAATGCAGAACATTGGAGGTAAGGGGTCGGCTTGCAATGGACCACTTGAGCTTTCTGTAGGATGCTCAATAAAATAAACAACAAATAAATACACTTCTGGAACAAACGGCTGGCTTTATAGAAAAATAACCACACTGTAGTTTTTATCTCACCAAGGAAGGAGGTATTCGACCCTTACGTCCTAGAACCTCCACCACCACCAACTAAACCCACCGAGGCCTGAATATGCGTGAGCCCTAACACTGAACTAATCTCACGGTGCTCAGTGTGCATTCATTTATCTTTATGTTTTTAGATTAAAGTCTTGTGTAGGCATCTCCAGAATTACTGGGATTGTCTTTGTTGTTGTTGTTTGTTTTTGGTTTCTCTTATTTTTACTGGATCGGAGCCACGAGCATGTAAGCCCAACATAGAGGCTGTTCTCCATTTTGGTTAAAATCTTCAGCCTTATGGGAATTTAAATTATCAAGTATTTCATAAGATCACCTCATACTCACTCTAGCTTGTGACAAGTGACGTAAGGAGAAATAAGAAGACCTGAATATGTTTATCCCTTAACTCTCCAGGCTGGGCGATGGCACCGTGGTTGTTCAAAGCGTCAGTACAGCCCCTGCTGGACATCCAGATGTAGATCAAAGTGGGCTGTGTGTCAAGGAAAACACAAGTAGTGTGGCTTTAAGAGAGATAAGGTTGCACATTACCACCCCAGAAAACAATGCCCTCCCTCGGTCTGTTTCATGTGTTCACGATTTAGCCTAAGGGAAGCCTCCGGTATCTCTTAAATTAACAACTCCACATTTAGAACAGTTCGATTTTTCAACCCCCTAAGGAACTGGCATTCACCCCCAAAGCCTTAGCATCAGCAGGATGATGTTGACATTACCTGCACAGGTCTGTAGCACCCTGAATTTCCAAAGACCAAACACATTAATGGTGGTGACATCACCGAGACTCAGCAGTTATGAGCTTTAAAATCGAATGGTCCCTCAGCGAGCCAGCTCATCAGAAACATCTCCTGTTTACGCTGTGTAAGATTCTGCTCTAGTCAAGGACTTTGTAAAGATTAACCAAACCACGTGGGCAGAAGACACGGCAGGTATTGGAGAAATCGTTTCGATTTGACTGTAGGGGAGAAACAACAGTTCTCGGGTCAGGGGCCCTGTGTGTCTCATGCAGACTGCCCTTTGCAAACAGGATGATCTTGCCTGTGTCATTGGGTTTATCAAAATTCTGATGTCCTGAGCGGCAGGATAGGGTAAGGACCTGTCCTCTCCAAGACTTTCAGGTGATCAAATGATGAATCCACAGAGTCCAACAGTGTCCGAAACAATAAGCACAAATCTCACCTCTATGGGACCTTAGAGACTAATTTGGGACTAGTCAGAGGTCAGTGTACAGGAACTAGTCAAGAGTTAGTATGTGGCTTGTTCCATAACCACACCAGAGGGTTACAGCACACACGTACAGCTTCTATGTAAAACTCACCTTTTCCTGTCGTGGTAGTGTGGGAGCTAGAATCTAGACCCCCGAGAGGGCTGGTCAATCGTTCTATTCCTAAGCTACATCCCCCAACTCTGTCAGTTTTATCTTTAATTGTACCCTTGACCATGTGTCAGATAACAAATTAGTATCAAATTACACCCAGTGGTAGACTGGGAAAAGAACTGTTACACAAATCTCTCCCATAAGAGATTTGTCTACTTTGTTAGTTTGTTTTTACACACACACACACACACAGACACACACACACACACATATACATATATGTATGTATGTATGTATGTATGTATGTATGTATGCATGCATGCATGCAGGGAGAGGTCTTTGGCCTCCACCTTCTTTTTGTCAGACCATCACCCAGAGACACACGTAACACAGTCCATGATGGTCTCTAATGAATGAGAGAACATAGGAAGTTCCCTTAGAACCCAAGTTGGATTTAACCCAGAATCAACATGGACACTGTTAGCACTCACCACCCTGTGTATGAGATGAAAGACAGACGTCTGCTTATGAAGAGGACCTGGAAGCCTTGTATAGTTCATGGGGCCTTCCCGTTCTGCTTTAGGGATAAGATGCTTGCCCTTTCAAGGAGAATGGATGTCCCAAATGTCCCAACTTCTCTCGGCTTTCGTAGGGTGATGTATGCAGACCACAGACCACTTCTAATCTGTTCCTTTGTCCTTTTCAGCCATGTCAAGCTACCTCTTCATCATTAAGTACGAGCTGCCTGAAGTAATCAGAGCGTTCATGGGACTTGAAGAAAATACTGGGTATGTTTTTTCTTGTTGTTGTTGTTTTCGTTTTTTGTTGTTGTTGTTTTCGAGACAGGGTTTTTCTATATAGCCCTGGCTGTCCTGGAACTCACTCTGTAGACCAGGCTGGCCTCGAACTCAGAAATCCACCTGCCTCTGCCTCCCAAGTGCTGGGATTAAAGGCGTGTGCCAACCACCACCCAGCCATGGGTATGTTTTTCATTCTCTCCTCAAATGTGATGCGTGTGGTTGACCTTTTCTGTTCCCAACGCCCTCTCTCTTCCTTTTCTAGGGAATGGTACCTCAATGGCAACTACCTCGTCCTGTTTGTGTCCGTGGGGATTATCCTTCCGCTCTCTCTCCTTAAAAACTTAGGTATCAATTCATTATTTAACTGAAAGTCTATCTTTTACTTCATCTTCTAATACTCAAGCTCTTTTGAGACAGTGAAGTCACCTGTCACCTTACGAAGTATTTCTGCTGATTCCTAGGCTACCTTGGTTACACCAGCGGATTTTCCCTCACATGCATGGTGTTTTTCGTCAGTGTGGTGAGTGCTTGCCTGACACAGTCCTTGCAGCCCAGTGGGCATGCCATGCTTTATCCGTGTCCTCATTTTTGTCCAGGCTCTTCATTAGCACGAAATAGCTCTCGCATTACAAGCGATTTTATTGTATTCTAATTTGGAATGATAAAAAGACAGTCATGGGTTTAAATATAGCTGAATCACAATGCCAGGGTCCTAGCCAATGGCATATTCTGGGTGAACACTCAGACGAAGGAGCATGGTAGAGATCCAGTGTTTAAGAAGGTGAGGATGTCAGACAGGAGCAGGCTGGGGCTCTATCTGTGTGTGTCAGCCATGCTCGCTTGCACTTTGTACCCAGTAAGAGAAGATGACTACAGCCGAATTAAAGAAAAAAAATCAATTCAAACAAAGGTGAAATTCCTTAAAATATAGATGCAAAATTTGTAAGTCAAGGATAAGGAAGAGGAAGGACTTTTGGAAGACTCATGTCATGAGTAGTTTGATATATGTAATGACCTGATGATCTTTGTCACAGATTAGCCAGAAAGGCCTGGAGTGGACTCGCCCGAGCCTGGTACTATTGACTAGAATGTACTACTCCCAGTCATGGTTCCAGATCTTTCCTTTGAACCAAAGCTAGAAGGAGTCTTTGTGGCCCAGTAGTCTAAGCAAATCCTCAACTGAGTTCTCTGCCCTGCCTCCCTCAAGCTACATAGACGGATTTTTATTCTATTACTTCCCCCCTCAAAGCTTAACAGTTTTTTTGTTTCTGTTATTTCAATTTTTTTAATGACTGGCTCTAGGTGATTTACAAAAAATTCCAAATACCCTGCCCCCTGCCTGTTCTGGATCACAACAATGGGAATCTGACATTCAATGACACACTTCCGATGCACGTGATCACGCTACCCAATAACTCGGAGAGCACGGGTGTGAACTTCATGATGGACTACACTCCCCACAACCCTGCAGGGCTGGATGAGAAGCAGACCGCAGGCCCTCTTCACAACAACGGCGTGGAGTACGAAGCCCACAGCGGTGACAAATGTCAACCCAAGTACTTTGTGTTCAATTCCCGGGTAAGTGACAGACCCCTAATGGGCTGAGTGCTGTGGTCGCTGGATTTTATTTTATAAACTGAGACGCTCTGCAATCAGCATGTATGCTGGGCTTCTAACTGTGCGGTGTTGTGTTTGTTTTGCAGACGGCCTATGCGATTCCAATCCTAGCGTTTGCTTTCGTCTGCCACCCTGAGGTCCTTCCCATCTACAGCGAGCTTAAAGAGTAAGGCAGCCTTTGTCTCAGCGTTCTAATTTGGTTTGCAAATATGTTCATTTATTCAACAGTGCTTTATGAGGAGGTATACCCTATGGCTTTCTGAACAGGGATGGTTTTTAAACTGAAGCTCGATGTTCTTTTTCTTCCTAGTCGATCCCGCAGAAAGATGCAGACGGTGTCCAATATTTCCATCACAGGAATGCTCGTCATGTACCTTCTCGCTGCCCTCTTCGGCTATCTAAGCTTCTACGGTAGGTCACCCAGTCCCAGTCATTCTCTCTGTGGTTAGACTGATGACTCACTCGGATGTAAAAAAATTCTTTTTAATTCCTTCTGTAAGTAGCATGGTCTGTAGATGGTACATTCTTACCATGTTATTTAGCTTTGCCAGTTTTCCAAAGATGATGGGCTCTGGATCTACCTGGCTAATAGATTTCAGCAATTTGTGAAGTATTGTTGATTTTCTTTCTTTTTTTTCAACCTTTCAAATTACAGCTAGGATGATGGCTCAGTAGGTAAAATACTTGGCATCTGAACATGAGACCCCGAGTCTGGATCCCCAGCCCCCATGTACAAATCCAGGCATGGTCCTGCATGATTGTAATCCCAGCGCTGGACAAGTGAAGGCAGGAGAATCCTTGGCACTTGTAAGCTAGCTAAGAAAACCTGTGAGCACTGGTCAGTAAGAGAGCCTGCCTCAAGAAATAAGATAGAAAGCAGCTGAGGAAGACCCTCAGTGCCAACCTGTATATGCACATGTATGGCTTCACGCACGCACGCACGCACACGTGTGTGCACACACACCCACACACATACCAAATCCCTCAAATTAAGTTGATTTCCTCCACGTACAAGTGATATTTGTTAAGGTTCTTGGCCAGCTCAGGCTAGAAACAATGAAAATGAATCCAACTATAGACAGGAAAATTCATTTTAGGGAAATGTGGTTGCCAGGAAAATGGCAAAAGCCCACTGTCCTCATGTTTGACCCTCCTCCTTCCTTACCAGTTGGTGAAAGCTGACATCTTAGTACAGTCTGCTTCATTTTGTTCAATTCTGTTAGAGTAATCATATCCTGAGACAAACGATACAAGAGATTTCCTTCAATCTGGGAATCAAGCCTTCAAACACTACTCTAAATTGTGTTTATATATGAAATATTTATATAATAGTATAGAGAATATGTATGCATATGCACATACGTATATCCACAATATGCATTAAACATTCTGTCAGATGTCAGGCATCTTAACAGTTAGCATCCTTTACTCCTTCCAGAAAGTGTAGCCCGATAGAGAAATGATTGTAATCAAATATAAGCGTGTTATCATATTTGCACACTGACCAAGGTCTCTTGCATACCAGCCAAGGTGTCAATACAAATAGACATTTTTAATAAATGCCTACAGATTTTTTTTTGAGTTCTGTCAACAAGTGTTCATTGCAAGTTGTCCAATGCTTTGGAAAACATCTGTTATTTTAAAATAGAGAAAGAAGCGTGTGCATAGTACATACACGAAGAAGCGTGTGCATAGTACATACACGTTGGAATTTCAAAAACTGACTGCAAAGATGTGAACAAAAGGAGTGTTCTTCCTCCTCCCAGAACTTCCATTTTTTAAAAACTGATTTGGTAATCTTTTTTTTTTTCTTTTTAACGGATTTGGTAAGTTAAACTGAATGCATGCCAAACTGAGAGGAAGCGACTTGGGAAGAGCCACCATTACTCAGGAGTCTTTTCTCTTTGGTTAATATTTGACTATTAACCAAGGACTTGCTCTTGATTTGGTATTATCTTCTCACTGGTTATACGTTAAAGTCAAGATCAATACTGCTGAATGTGTTTGCACACTTGCTCTCATCTTGAGAGTAACAGAGGAGAAACCAGCTACCTGTGATTCCCATGGATCCATGTGCCATTTGGGTTTTGATTTCATACGCATCTTTGTATGTTTGTGTCTGGGATTTCTGAATGGCTGTCTTCAAAGGAGACATCAGATAGATCTCAGAATAAATGGCTGAGGGATTCAGAAAAAAAAAAAACAGCGATTCATCCTTGCATGTTTGTCTAATGACTTTTGTAAGATAAACAACCTTTTAAAACCTCAAATGACCTGAGTTTGGATCCCCAGTGTCTGTGTAAAACTTAGGTATGGAGGCCTGAGTCAGAAACCCCAGGGCTAGGGCTGGACAAGCAGATCCCAGGGTCTTGCTGGCTTTCGAGTCTAGCCACAATGGAAAGCTCCAGATTCAGAGAGAGACCTTGCCTCCAAAGTAGGCCAAAAAAGTGATTGAGAGAAACATCCCGTCAGCCTCTGGCCTCCATGTGTGAATGCACACATACACACACACACACACACACACACAGAGAGAGAGAGAGAGAGAGAGAGAGAGAGAGAGAGAGAGAGAGAAATGGCAGTCCTAAAGTTTCCACACTAAGTGCAAAGAAGCTGCATCAAGATTAGTTGAACAGACAGGTTGGGGGACAGTGGTCGTGTGGGCATGACAAACGGTAGGGTTTGGGCTTTCTACCCCCTTGACAGGGACACATTGTCCTGCCTTGTTCTGCTTCTTCGTAGCAGATATAGATTTATTACGGTGCAAACAATCTCAAGAAGCTTCTTAGCTGCTCTTCATCCTCCAGCTTTATAAGCTGTCTGAATGCCCAGGCCTGGGCCTCTTCTTGTTACCATCACACGCTTCTGTGAGGAGCCAGTGCTGACTCAGCAATCCCAACCCCCCACCCACCCCCAACTCTTAATCTTTCAGGGGAAGTTGAAGACGAGTTACTCCATGCTTACAGCAAAGTCTACACATTTGATACCGCTCTTCTCATGGTCCGTCTGGCAGTCCTGGTGGCAGTGACACTGACTGTGCCCATCGTCCTGTTTCCGGTAAGCACATGGAGTTCTGAAGGATTGGTGCAATGTTCTGGCTCAGTGTGAACATAGGTATCTATGTCCTTGCAGTCATGTGTTTCCCAGCCGATCACTATTTTCTCATAGAATGTAAGTCAACTTAAGGTTGACCAGATAGATAGATAGATAGATAGATAGATAGATAGATAGATAGCAGTGTTAGATAGTGTTTTTGAGGTATGTGAAAAAAACACATGAATTTTATTTTTAAATTCAAATTTACAAAATAAGCAGCGCTTATATAAGCTGTTATATATAATAATAAATTACAGATTTGCTTCTGGCTCTGGATATGTGAAAGCTAAAGCCATATAAACTTTAAAGATCACACCGCGTCTTGTCATAGCTTTGAGGGTGCTTCCGTTCGTTCCTCGGTGATGTGCTAATGTAACATCTGTAGGTCAGATTGTTGAATCTGATGTCTTGTCTTGGTGGCTAATGGGAAGGAGACCCATTAAATAAATGACATATCAGGAGAGATTTTTTTAGACTTCTCACCCAAAACAGACACGTGCTTTCTGGCATTTGAGATTCCTGATTCTTGGCTCTAGTCAGGGTATTGGTTTGTCCTAAGTTCATAGTCCTGGGCTGATGTGGATAAGGATGTGAACCACACCTATGGACAAACACGGGGTTTTCACCTCGCCATCAATCGGCCCCTTTTGTAAACATTGTTTACTCATCCATTTTAGGGATGTAAAAATCATCGACTCGTTAGCCAGCCTTGCTGTGTACAAAATGTTCCACGCAAGACTCGGCATAAGAGAACCACGTAAATAACGTGCCGCGGTCACTTTAAGTACAGCTTGTGCGCTGAAAGTGTAGTTTGGCACATTCCTTTTTCATGAGCGCATGAAATCAAATCCCTGCCACTATCGTGGCTAACACTTGACACTTAAATAACGCCTGGCTTCTAATACATCTGCGAGCATTCTGGATGTCATACGTGGAACTTCAGCTTAAAGTGAACTCAGGCTCCAGAGGGAAGTTTTGACGTACCAGACACCTGTGTCACTGTTTAATTATTTTGTGCAAAGAAATCTGTTACATACTTCTACTTAGCTTTACACAGAGGCCCTTAATATGGTGCTCTTGAGCCCCAGTCTCCAGAGATGGATGGATGTGGTTGTGGTCATTTGTCTAGCAGATAAACGGTGAGCTAATGCAAGGCTCGTTGCCAGAATGGGGAGTTTTAGCTAGCTTCGACAGATAATACATCTCGACACTGAAAATCCAAACCTCCCTTAGAAATTCTTACCTTGTGTAAGAACAAATGCCCCGGGATAGATCTGATCAGTGCTGGATGCCATTAGGATCCAAATTGGGCATGAGAACCAACATCCAGAAAAATAACCAATGCCCACCCTTTCCTGTGTAGTCGCACTCTCTGTGAGCAGTTATGACATTGTGCACAAAATGGTCTTTCACTGCCACAGTTACAGGTAGACATTAACAGACAGAATAGTGGCCGCACAGAGGATGAACCAGCAGTATTGGATATGAAAAAAAAATTTTTTTGAGTGAATCTTGCCTTTCCTGCAACATATGAACTGATTTTCTGGTTTATTCGTGTGCCCTTAACCCATGGAATGAGGATTTGGGTGAGCAAATCAAATGGCCGTGACAGTGACAGAGACAGATGAGTGGCAGCTGCCTTGCCCAGACAAGTTCTAAAAGGCCAAATTCTGGTGTGTTTTTTAACAGAGTTGTGTTGCATGTAGTTTTAGTCATGATACCGACAGCGCTCTGGCCCCTCCCGGCTTCTTTTTGTTCCTCCTGGCTACGCTCCGCCGTGCCTCCAGCACGGACCTGGGTTCTCTCTATATCCGCCTGCTAGGGGAGTCGTCCACTCCACTAGCCCACTCCTGCTATCCTTGCCTCAGGAGGGGTCACATTACCAGCCCCACCGGAGACCTTTGACTCTGCGGATAAAAAACACACTCGGCTTGTCACTTTACAGCTTGCCTTTCGTTTCACAATTGTTGGGCGCAGAATCTCCTGCCTGGAAAGACATGCCCCTATCAACTCATTATCCCTGTCTCTCCTCCACATCCTTGGCCACCCGCTCATAGTGGAGGCCGCTGTCCCTAGCTGTCCCCAAGGCTTTACATCATTGCCGTGTCCCTTTCCCTCCAAGGCGTGACAGAAAAGCTCCCTCTCTTTCCCTGTGTCCACCTTTAACTCCTGGGACCCGGAAGTTCCATCTGGAACCCGGAAGTCCCACCTGTACCTTCTGCCCAGCAATTGGCTCCCGGCCTTCTTTATTGACAAAATCAAGAACCAATTAGGGAGCTAGACCTTAGTATCAGCACCTTCCTCTACAGAGTTTTTGTTTCTTATAACTTGGGGGTAGGACTTCTGTGAATCAAATACAGGGTGTGGCTCTCTTGGATAGCGTTCTTTGCATTTAGAAACATGTGAGCACCAAGAAACATCTTTATTGGCCTTCATATTCCCACATACAAGTAAAGAAAGAGACCTAGTCTGGGTTCAAGTCTACCAGTTTTACCTACTATTTTGCATACTTTTTCTCGAAACAAATGGTAACCAGGCTCTTTCTTAGACGACAGGATAAGAGTTTGCCTGCTGGGTTTTCTCTTATCCCATTTGTCATCTCAAGCTAGGTTGGGGTTTCCTTCTTCTCGAAAGTGTATAGGAGCCGTGGGCAGATGCTGAGGTCAAATGAATTGAGGCTAGCCTTCCGTGAGCAACTTAACATGGATCTCCTTAGGCACAGGGTAGGCCATCCGTTATGGGACGCACCTCCTTCAAGAGGATGGATGGCAACATTCATAACTGTGCTTTGATTCATGCTGTCAGATTCCCATGTTATCACAGAGGATAGAAAAGCAAGTAACCTTTATAATTTATCCTAAGTGGACAGGTTCATGTTCTACCTGTAATACGTTCAGAAGATCACCCACCACCCAGGCTCTCTAGTGACTTCTATTTCATCTTCTTATAGAACAATCATCCCTTCTGCATATACTGCCCTCAAGGTTCCTGTTCTGAGCCGTGCACTGACACAAGTATGGCAATATAGTGGGCATTGGCAGGAACCCCAGTAGAGTTAGTTTTGCGAAGATGCTATCCTCAGGCAACCCTGTAACACGATGAAGGAGTCATTTCTACTCAGTGGGAGAATCTGTTTTTATTGAGAGTATCAATCAAGGCTGTTCCACATCTATGACCTCCACACAGGGTCCCCACATACAGCACCTCCTCACAGGCTGGGCTGGAGACACTGTGTAGAACAACTAACTTTCTGTGGTGTAAAGCTGCATGGAAACTTATAAAGTCATTCTGGGTCAGGGACCCTGGCTAGTGCTAGGGACTTCCCCGACCTGCTTCTCACCCACATTTTTATAGCCTCATCAGCTTGCATCAGTAGGAAAAGGGGCACATGGGTAACGGGAAATGCACCAGGGCCTTATGGGTAATAGGGCTGAGTTGCCTCTATTGTCCTGACATGGGTAAACGGAGCTGCCCCAGCTGTTAGGATCCACTTTCTCCTAAAGGTGGCGCTGTAACATGGAATGACCAGTGTTCCCTTCTAACCCTTTCCCAGTGTATTATTTTAACAACAAATCAAAAAAAACAAAAGCATTGTGTCCTTAGGATCCAAGGGTCTGCGTTCAGCTTGCTTTCCAGAGTCAGACACATTCTTAAGCAACACTCGCCACTATAGAAAACTTATCACAAGCTCACAGACTTGTGGACAATATCGGACAGGCATTCTTCACAGGTCGTAACTAGACTGTCCCAGAGCCTGGGGGGAGGGGTCGAACTCTAGATTTCGGCTTCCCACAGTGAGCTTCATATTTTTCACTGTTCCAACGTTTAAATCCTTTCACAAAGCCACTGCTAAACCATTTGCAAGACTAGACTGTGTAGTTTGCCACTCTAGAAATGGAGTTCCCTTTGACCCACACAGATGGCTTTAATTTTCCGGTATGGTATGCGAGGAATTCCTCAGGAGAAACTGCGGGCCATTTAGCTTTTTTTGTTGTTGTTGTTTTTGTTGTTGTTTTTTGGTTTTTGGGATTTTTTTTTTTTTTTGGTTTGTCCACACATGTTTCAAAATGGAGTTCGCATTTGCTGTCTCTGCAGTGAGCTCCCGTCGCCACACCATTCTGAGAGTTCGGGACTAAAACTCAGTCGATCACCTCTGAGCATGGGAAGCTCTTGCTAAACTGAAGGGCTTATACACCCGTAAGGCAGATAGAGTAATTCAACCAAGTCAAAAAAGGGTGGCCTCATAAACACATGCCAGAGAGAATCCTGTTTCTGTGTCGGGCTGTCCGAACCCAAATGCCCTGTCCCTTTGTCCATAGTGAACTCTTTATCTACTGACACACCATTTACTTGGGCTCTGCACCAAGTAGAGCCTCTCTTGAGCCTTTGCATACTTATTTCAGCTGCTGAAACAGGGCTGGAATCTGTTGAGAACCCTCAATGGGAGTGGACAGATTCCTGCTGTCAGTTTAACTCAGCACGTACTGAGTGCCTGCTATGTGCAGATGACGGAGGGGGGGAGCCTCTGAGGAATGTCGAGGTTATTAAGTTCCACTGTTTGCCTTTTAGGGATCTGTAACCTATTAATGTGTAGGGGAGAAAGGAGGAAACACAAAAAAGCATCACATTTTTCTTTTTCAAAATACCAGCGGAAAATGTTAAACAAAACGGAAAATTAGGGAAAAGCCAGGTCTACAAAGATTGCTTTACAGACTGTGTAAGTCACCCCGGCGTCTTGTCCGCGATGCTTAGCCAGTCTAATGAGAATAAGACACACTTAGCTATCATGGGGCGGGGGCTTCACTGCCTCCAAGTTGCTCCAATAACCCTCCAAGATTATTTTTTAAACGCAGAATACTAAGATTCGAGAAAGTGAACGAACGATACGCAACCAAGGGAAAAATATCACTCTCAGACATGAAAATCGGCGTGAAGTTTGCACAGCGTTGCAGATGGATTTAAGTCTGCTCAATTGTACAAAGTTAGAAGCAGTTAGGGTGACAAGCGCTACTCTGTGTTTCAACACAACGAACGTGAGAAAAAGTCAAGAGATTTTTAAGTGTGTGTGACTGGGGGGGGGGGATTAAAATAAAAACAAGTCGCCTTAGATTCGAACACTTAAAACCATAGCAGAGATCAAAACCAGAAGTTAAAGATGCGACTGTGCCTTTGCACACCCCCGTTGCAGATCCGTACTTCCGTGATCACACTGCTGTTTCCGGGAAAACCCTTCAGCTGGGTGAAGCATTTCGGAATCGCTGCCATCATCATCGCACTCAACAACGTGCTGGTCATCCTCGTGCCTACCATCAAATACATCTTTGGATTCATAGGTAAGTTTCAGAAAAGGTTTTGTTTGGTCGGCTCAGACTTACACCTCCTTAAATGGCAGATACGGAGAGGTGCAGTGTAGACTGGGATCCCAGTCCCCTTCAGGCTAAGAAGAACCCTGCTAGCCCCTGCTGGGTTCAGGGACTGCGCTGGCAGTGCCCTCTCCCTCCCAACTGCTGTTGGGAGTCACCTATAGCCATTTAGTCCAAGGGCCTTTGCAAGAGATAAGGAAACCAAGTCGGGGCACACCTTTTGGTGGACACTAGATTTGGGCATACGCTGTAGCTCTGTCTTGAAGCGACGGGTGTTAACTACCTGAAGCTCTCTGGAGTCTGTGTCAACTCGTGCATTCCAGATGTTTCCAGAGGAACAGAAGGCTGATAGCCCAAAACATCTTATTTCCTTTAACCACATGGTCTGTTAGTACATTTAATTTCTCAATCCAGGCAGAGGATTTACTAGATTTTAAGAGCAGAATGATTTTTAAGAAAATCAGGAGTGAACAAATTGCAGAGTAAGAGTGGACAGGAAACATGCATGGTGTGTTCAGCCCTCTGAGTATGTCGTTTTATTTCTAAGTTTTTACCAACTTGTATTGTTTGGCCTTTTACTGTTTATTATGGTTATTCATATGATGCTATCATATGAGGCACGTTTAAATTTTCTCTACAAAATCACAATTAAAGACAGAAATAATCAAGATGACCTATGGCTTTAATGTTGCTTTTAATGCTAAGAATAACAAGATAGGATTATATCTGTTTGTCCTGAAGCCTGGGTTTGCAGAGACCTTCTTTTCCAGGACAACCAGCCTTGTGAGACATTAATCCACTTCACATCTCTTTCCTCAGGGGCTTCTTCTGCAACTATGCTGATTTTCATTCTTCCGGCAGCTTTTTATCTCAAGCTTGTCAAGAAAGAACCCCTTAGATCACCCCAAAAGATTGGGGTAAGTAAGACTTGTAATATCCCCTCCTGTAAATATCTCTTCAGCTACTCAGAATGAGCTAGAAAGCACATATGGTTTAGAAAAACGGACCAGTAAACAAGACAGGAAAGCCAAGGCTCGGTGGATGAATGGCAGGAAAGAGAGGGCTTCTGACCATCTGAGGATTCTAAGATTTTTCGTCTTTAAGTAACAGATATCTAAATATTTTGTTGAGTTCTCCTGTGTGGTAAATGGTTTGGTACATTTCCCACAGGTGTGCATGTCACACGAACGCTGGTGTCCAGTGCCAGGCTGGATATGACGTGTGATATACTAAGATATTAGGTTCCCTTGCGATGTTGGGGTAATGTCAGAATTTTAGTTCCTTCCGAATTGCTAGATTCACAAGGGCAAAGGTGGCTCTGATTTTTCTTCTATCTGTTATCTATCTCCCTTGTATTCATTTCCCTATAAGTTCTGCTGTTTGGATTACAATATAAAAAACAGAATCAATCATTTTTGTGTTAGTCTTTTCAGATGTAAGCTGTAATCGATATTTCACCAATAATTAAGTACTATCAGCAACTAGTTAAAATAAGTCTTCTGTTAAGGCTTGGGAAAGCATACTTCTAAATGCAAGTTTAGCCCTTGAAGCCACTCACTTCTTGTGGTGTCCAGGGACATCAGGGCAGCTTTATAGTACAAGTCCCTCCTCTTATCTTTTCCGCAAGTCTGGAGTCTGTGTGCTCCACCCTGCCCGTGTGTCTTTAGCAGTGTCCCCCAGGGAAAGAACTCACCTTGGCTGTGACCCGTTGTCATTTGGACCAGATGTAAAGTGGGTCAAGTTGTCTCCTAGACCCCCTGCTAATGACAACCTTCACCTGCTGCTCCCCAGCAGGTTGAATTAGAAGACGGGTCTATGTACAAACTCTTCCAGTTAAAATTCTGAAATATGGATGTGTTCTCAATAGTCCTACTTACAAAGATGCCTATGCTTGGTCTTTTTTTTTTTTCTTCAGAAACGACAAACACACACTGGGCTTCCATTTTACCCATCCAGTTTATCAGCTGTGTCACATACACTACTCTTACAATAGCAGCTCTTGGGTCATGAGTGTTCCCTACATCATTCAGTCTTTGTCTGTCACTTAGTTTTTGGTAACCCCCATATTTTCACGTACCCGGTCAGTCAGCTGTGACTCTCTTCTCCATTCGTATGCCACATGTTCCCTGTTTTTCTCTCCTTTCCCAGCAAGGGTCCTAAATTGATTTGCCATTTTTCACTAAAAATATTCAAGGCACAATAACACCCTGTGACATTGTCCTAAAGCACACTGTGTTGTTCTCCCCCCCCCCCCCGTCTCCGCTCCTCCCTAATGGTGCTCCCTCTGAATTACAGGCTTTGGTCTTCCTTGTGACTGGAATTATCTTCATGATGGGAAGCATGGCACTCATTATAATCGACTGGATTTACAACCCCCCAAATCCCAACCATCACTAATCCCGGGGAGGCGCTCTTCAATCGGAGACAGCTGAAATTATGCTCCTGACGGACATTTTAGTTGTCTTGATTGGGATGGTTAGAGGGATTAACAAGATTCCCAAGGCGTTTTTCTAGCTCTCTTATCTGATACTTGTGGAAGAGAAAATTGTGGGGTTTTGTCGGGAATGGTTTTGTCGGGAATGGTGAAGGGTGCATTAAAAATTCTGTAGCACACATTTTAACCCAGGCCGTCCAGTGCAGTGTGTGTGATGCCCGAGTTGTGTTTGCAGCTGTGCAAGCTGAATCCTGTTGGCTGCGTGTCTTGGTCAGCAGACAATAGCCTGTCCCCCGTGCTCACCCACATCTCATCACCCCACATTAACAAATGATTCTATTCTCAGAACAGCAGACAAAAGTCTCCCGGTTGGCGAAGCTATCATCACTTACGGCCATCTCCAATTCTACACCAACACTAAGGGTCGGTTGACTGGCTGAGGCAGGGGCATGTCTTGGGAGCTGTCCCTATGAGGTTCATGAACAGCAGATACCGGTAGAGTGTACCTCGTTTCAATTCTTAAGGAGTAGTTTGCCCAACTTGCTCATTATATTGAATTAGTGACTTTTTCATTCAATTTTTTTTTATATGGCAAATGTTCAAACATCTCACTAAACGTAGAGGGGGGGCGTTATTTAGTTATCAAGAAATAACTACCAAAACAAAAATAATGCTTTTTTAACATCTGGCTTTTCATGATGTTCCTGATATCTTTGTCCCATTTTGTCCTTGAACAAGGCTTCCCCTCTCGTCTTCCGTTCTCACTCGTAATTTTCAGAAGGCCACAGTCCGTGTGGAGACACACTACCCAGTATTGTTTGATACGTTTCTATTTGACAAGCATTCAGTGCAGGAAGCTGTGATTTTGCTATATGTTTGTGTACATAATCTCATGCTATAGTTATCAGGGCGTTGACATATGGTACATTGGATTTTTATTTTTTACATATGTAGTTTTCTTTCTTCACAGACAAAACATTTATATGACCGGGGTGGGACAGGGAATTAAGCAGATGGGCTCAGAAATTTCCATGTGTACGTATCTGTCCGTTGAAGACATCTAAACCTTAAAATCAAAACTGCACATAGTTCGGTAATGCTCCTCACTGTTTGCAGTACTCTAGTCATCCACAACGAAGTAGCGAAGTAGCGAAGAAAGGGGCTCCGCGTTTGCAAATAACTTTCAGTGCTGACAACGGTCTTCGAGTTTGACATGTCTAGAAGAGGGTTCCGTTCATTTTAGAGTACATAGGAGTTTGGCGATGTCCATCTGCCAGTAATAGAACATCCAGTGGTTAGGAACAAATGCACCAACGTGACCCCAAAACACCGACTGCCAATCTTGCTCGCATCCACGGATGCTCACACGGGTTGGAGTTCAGTTTTCACTCGCTGCCTAGAATCTCTGGCACTGATTTTCTTTTTCAGTTAGTAGTTGTGTACTTTACATTTTGATAAAAAAGCCAAGTCTGAAATACAACCATCATACAGGGTAGTGATAATTCTGTCACACTCAAACAGTTTTTCTGCAGTGTGCCTAAGAAACACATATTGGTTTAATGTGTCATTTTCTAGAGTTTGAGGTTATAAAATGGCGCGCTTTGTGACAGAAATTGGACGTTACTAGAAACTATCATAACTCCCAAGTTACTACCATTTGGGAGGGGAAAAAAATCACCAAATAGGATCTTTAAGATGTCTTCCTATTTTCATTCATCCAAGAAATGAACCAAGATAGAAGGCGGAAAAGATGTGCTGCAAATATTAAATGTTTCATCTGAACATGTCACATGTAAATATAAAAGATTAATCCAAAAAATATTGGAAACCTGTAAAATCTGTATGTATTTCAAATACCTTACATTTAGAACGACTAACTTGGAAGCATCCACTTGTGTAGTTAGATATTCAAGAGCAATATCACAGTGCCAAAGACTTCACACGGTAGCGCTCATTTGCGTGGCCGTTTTCAGGATTAGAGTTCACACAGGCTGCAGGGCAGATACACAGAGTACCTTTTTTTTCCCTGGTAAATTTAACCCATTTGTAAACAGATACAAATTTTATTTTCTTACATCATTTATAAGATGGTTCCATGTATTGGGAGGATTTTTTTTTATTACAGAATGTATATTGGTATATAATAAATAAACTTTTCAAATGATGTGGCTGTGATCTTCCTTCTCAATAAAGGCTGTGGGTTATTTGTACATGAGACAAAATCAGAAGTATACGTAGTACCTGTCATAAACTGATGCATGTTGACTGTGCACATGCAGAAAGAATAACTTCCTCATCCCCTGAAGACAAAGAGCACAGCAAAGCCTTCATCTCGCACATATTGTTGCTGTTGTTACAAATTACTGCACACTTAGTGGTGTAGACACATACAGAAAATCCAAAGCCAGACATGGTATCACATACCTGTGTTCTAGCACTGGGAAAGAGAAGCAGCAGAATTGTCAATTGAGGTCACCCTGGGCTGTACAATCTCAAAAAGTCAGAGGGAATAAATACCTTATTAACTCATGGTTCAGGACGTCAGGAGTCCTCAAATCAGGGTTCCGGTAGCTCTGCCTCTTTTTGGAAGTTTTAGGGGTGAATCTAATCTATTCCCTTGCCTTTCCCAAATTCTAGAAGCCACCCACACCCCTTGGCTCGTTGCATCATCCTACATCTTCAAAGTTCACGATGCATGGTCTTCCTATTCAAACCAGTTCCAGTTTCTGTGTTTCTATTTTGCCTGTTTTGGTCACCATCTCTGTCTGTCTCTGTCTGTCTTTGTCTGTCTCTGTCTGTCTCTCCCTCCTCTCTCCCTCTTCCTCCTCTCTCCCTCTTCCTCCTCTCTCCCTCTCCCTCCTCTCTCCCTCTCCCACCTCTCTCCTTCCCACCTCCCCTCCCTCCCTCCTCCCTCTCTCTCTCCTGTCTAGATCATGTACATGTGCCTCACTCCCTTTAAGGATCCTTGTGAGGGTATGAGGTCTGTGTAGATAACATCCAATCACACCTGTGACATCTCCCTGCATTGTAGAAGTGAGCAGAGCCAAGTCAAGGACCCACCCGAGGCCTCAGATTCATGAGAAGAGAAAAGACTTTTCCAGGTCCGTCTTGAGAAATTGGCAAAGCCTTCCTGTGGTCCTTGTGTGAATATAGACTCGTTGTGCTTCCACACAGACAGCAGCCTGAGTTTGGCACCTCCAGAGACATTCTACCACGACTATCTAACTCTTCCTGCTTGTACTGTATGTGGTAAACTTCAGGCTACCTAGTACAGTAGCAGCGCCCTCTGTCAGAGCAAGCACAATCCACCCAAGCCCGCCTCTCTGTATGTGTATCTTTTGCATGTTTAATGTCCGTCCTTCATTCCTGGATTGCTCAAATGAGGTTTCCAAGACCAAGCCACACAGGCGTGGCACGTTCTGCTATGTGCAGGCTTTAAAAGTTTATTTTATCAAAGCAGTTGACTATGTGTTTTTTTAAAGCAGGTTAGACTACTTCTCATTTCTACACTTCAGTATAAATACTTCCCATACATACCTTTAGCTTTATGCAACATGTTCTCACATACAGTATAAAACAAAAGCAACGTAAGGTCTCATAAACATTGAACAAAATGTCACTTGTGCTAGTTAAGGCTTTTTTAATATTTATTTTTATTATTTTATTAATATGTATGTGTTTGAGTGTATGCCACATGAATGTAACATCTGTGAAGGCCAGAAGAGGGTGTGAGATTCCCCAAGAGCTGGAGTTACAGCCAGGTGTGAGCCGCTGGGTGTGGGTACTGGAACTGAGACTTCTCTGGAAGAGCAGTGCATGTTCTTAACTGCTGAGCCATCTTTCCAGCACCATAGTTAGTTTCTTTAACAAGTTACTTACTGAATTATGTAAAGCAGGGAACATTTATTTTGATTAATCACTTCAGAGATTTCAATCCAGAACAGTTCACCTACTAGAAGATGGGAGTTGGGGGAAACATTGGGAGTGAAGAAGCAGGCAGGCAGGTCTTGAACCTGTGATCCTCTTGCTCTGGCTTCCCGGTCGCTGGGATAGTGGACCTGGATCATTAGTCTGGGCTTAGATTTCCTTCCTTAAGGTTGAACGGCATCCTGCATGTGCGTACTGTGTTGTCTTCATTCATGCTCCCTTCAGTGGACCGTAGACCATTTCCTCTTTTGGTGGATAATGCTCCAATTACGATGAGTTGCAGGTGTCAAAGGTCTAAGAACCACTCTTCCGTCTCTTGGTTACACACCTAGAAGTGGGAGTCCTGGGTCACAGGGCAAATTCCATTTGAATGTTTTGAGCAGTCTCTGCCCCATCTTCCACAGTGACAATGCCATTCATACCCATGGCAACTTGGTCCTTATATATTCATAATTTCAAATGTGTCTGATGGTAATCATATCTATACCATGAACATTTTCTTCAAGCCTTTCCTGATTCCTATCGCTTTTCCTATAATATCTGTTCACACAACAGCATTGCATTTTGACCAGGCCTATTGTATCCTTTCTTTTTCCTCCATGCCTAAGGAAATCACTGTGTTTTAAACTTTTAGGTGTACTTAAGATATTTAGATATTTACCGGTAATTTATTTCTGACTGTGGTGCTCAGAAGAAATTGTTTTCTTTCCAGGGAATCAGATGTCTTTCTCTGGTTAGGGAATGCCATTTCTGTCCTATAGAATTCTTTCACTGGGCAAATAGTTCCTCTGCAGTTATGTTGACTGCTGCCTTCTGAGCCTGAGTAGAAATAACCACACAATCTTCTCCAATCCTTCGGCAAGCATATAATTGAATGCTTTCAGTGGGCGAAGTCAATCATGATCCCAATTACACCCAAGAAGGGATTTGAAGTAAACGAGAACACAGAGGCTTTCTATGAAGAGATTAAGATCAACTTGGGAGCTATAAAACAGGCAGATAATTACTTAATGGCAATAAAGAACACGGAGAGCATCAACACGAGCCGTTCACGTGCACAGGAAGTGCTGTGTCATCTATTGTGGAGCAGAAGTAGCTCCCTGGGAAAGGAAATTGGTGTGATATTCAGAATATAGAGAAGGGCAGAAGGGCATGTCTTGGCTATGAACTATAAAAGTCTGGGAAGTGAGGACAGTGGGGAGGAGGGAAAGGAAGGAGGGATGGACAAAGAGGAAGGGAGGGAGAAGGAGAGAGAGATAGACACACAGAGAGGGAGAGGGAGAAGGAAAAGGAGGGAGAGGGAGAGGGAGAAGAGGGGGGGGGGGGGGAGGAGGGGAGGGGGGAGAGAGAGGGAGAGAGAGGGGGAGAGAGAGAGAGAGAGAGAGAGAGAGAGAGAGAGAGAGAGAGAGAGAGAGAGATTCCATGAAGAGACGGGCCAGAGGCCATGGTTGAACATGAGGACTGCAAACCTTACAAACAGAAGCCTCCCTGGGTTAAATGCTGACTCAATCATGTCCTGCCTTTAGCAAGCCTGACAGGTTTTGCTACATTATCTGTGCCTCAACCTTCTTACCTACAGATTCAAAGTAACGGCTAAGAGTCCCTGTAATATAAGGTTATTAACATGGTGCCCGTCACCTCCTTACTCCCAACAATTGCTGTCACCCACAATCTGGAGGGATACAGGTGGAAGAGACTCAGATCTTACACGCTCAACTGTAAGATCACATCCTGATGTTTGCAATGCCCTTCAAGGGAAAGTACGTATTTCAAAGTGTTTTTGTGATGGAGATGGAAGCTTATAATTGATCTGTGGTCAGTCGAGAACTCAACCATTGTCTAACGGAACAGGACTCCATCTAGTATGGGCAGTGTGAGCATCAGCTGGCTGACTTATGGGTAGCAGACCATATATCCCCATCTTCTAGCGCAGCCCCAATTTGTGCCTCATCTGTTCTTATATCGTGTTAACATCCCCATCTGCTCAAACATGTCTAGATTTAGAAGATACATTCAGTAGCCAGTGTGATGGTTAGCTTCCGATGTCAACTTGACCTATTTAGAATCAGCAGGGAAAAGAGTCTCAGTGGTGGATTGTCTGATCAGGTTGGACGTAGGGGACTATCTTGAAACTACTTGAGATGATAAGACTTTCTCATTGGGGATACCATCACTCTCTGGTTTGGGGTCCTTCCCCATGTAAGAGTAGAGAAAGTTAGCTGAGAAGTAAGTATGCATGCCTTCACTCTCTGTGGCTTTGGGATATTGGTTTGGTTTTGGTTTTTGAGACAGGGTCTCACTATGTACCTCTATATTTCCTCAAACCCACAGAGATCTGTCTGCTTCTGTCTCCTGAGTCCTGAGACTAAAGGTGTGTCCCACCACACCTGACTTTCTCTCTTAGCTCTTGACCGTGGACATGACTAGTTGTCATCATCAAGCTTTGCCTCAACTTCTCTGCAGTGATGGGCTATAACTGGAATTCTGAGCAAATGTAACATTGCTGTATCAGGATCTGAGAGTTCTGCACACCGTGTCCATCACAGTGGCCAGTCCTAGTACAGGTTAAAAATGGCAACTCCTGTGTAGACAGAACGACCACAAAACAGTCTATTAATCCAACTGTACTTGACATGTAGAAAAGAAAGTGCATAGAGGAACTAGATTCAGGGGTTTCCGCTCAGAACCTTGGGCCTGCACATGCCACATCTCAAATGATGTCTTTGTAGTCATGTCTGCCCCACATCTGAGCTTCACAGAGCCTAAAGGCAGGCTCTGGTACCTCTGAACATAGTACTTATCTTGCCAGTGTGCTCTCTACTCTCTTCTTATCTGTGTTGGTCTCTTTTGTACTGCTGTAGCTAACATGCTTGCTAGAAACAGCTTAGGATAGGTAATGTTGGTTTTGGCTCACGGGTCCAGAAGGCTCAGCATGTCATAGTGGGGAAGGCATGGTTGAGCAGATCAGATCACTGCTTGGTAGGTCAAGTAGCAGAGACTGGGGGTGAGAGATGCCACCCTCTAGATGTCTTCCCTTTTTTACTCCTTTTATTCTGTCATATGGGACGGTGTCACTCACTTTCCGGGTCCTTCTGTTCCCTCTCAGTTACATCTGTTTATAAATGACTTCACAGACACATGTCATCAATTTCCTAGCTGAATCTAAGTTCCATCAAGTTAATCAGAAAGCTCTCCTCGAGTTAAAATAAAACAAACCTTAACATTGTTTTATATTCT